ACACACACACACACACACACACACACACACAAGAGAGAGCCAGTATTTCACTCTTGTGAGTCGCAAGAATTTTGGCTTATATAAAAGCAAAGCAAAAGCAAAGCAAAACTCCAGATGAACAGATGACAGATAATATTAATAATATAATTCAATAATTTTGTCTATAAAAATATAATATACATAATAATAAAACACAAAATATATAAATGTCTATATAATATATAATATTCAATCTAATTTCACTGTAAAGTCATTCTATTATGCAAACATATATATATAAAGCATTCATTATTAATAATAGAAAATAATTACAATAATTGTAATTATTTATATATGTGTATATATCACATATAATCATCATCAATACAAACAAGTTTCATGGTATAAGGTGCATTCGATTCACATATCTGTTTTAATTCTAACATAAATGAGTGAATAGATTTAAATACATGTGCTATTTAAATTATTATTTTAATATAACATTAATGATAATATAATACTATTATTAATAATTTATTTGTTAGGTATGGTTCCATGCACTAAGCAGAATAATGTTCTACTGTTCATTAAACAAACAAACAAACAAAAAAAGAGAGTGAGACATGGACATTACTAAAATGAACAAAAGAGATCTGAAATCAGATTTAAGGCCAGGAACAGCGTGAATGCAAAGAGAACTGGTTCATTTCTCACTTTTTGATTCACTTAAAGGCGTTTTATTAAAGATCACCCAAGTGCAAAAACACCTTATTTGTGGCTGTTTTGTCTCAAGTCTCTTTTCTTGAAAGCCGTTTGACAGGTAAACCAGCCTGTCATGGCCAACAAGCTCCCGCAGATCGCCCTCCACACCGACCTCTGACTTCAGACGGCTGAGGGCTTTCCCTCACAATTACCAGGGCGCCGAGAGCCAGCGACTTTTAATTAGGAAGACCAATACGCTTTGCTAATTGCCGCTGCCTCAGAACAGGAAGATCAATGAGCCGAGAGGACGCATTGTACAGAGAACCAAACGTTTGTTCTGGAGATCAGCTCTAGATGTAAGAGCACAGAGAGCTTCGAGCAGCCTCACACAAGGCTTTCTGCAAATGTAAGAGAGATTCCCTCAGGAAATGAAACGATGAGAAAGAAAGCATCTCTGCTGTATTCATATATGCACGGCCATATGGGGACTGTCAGAGAAGAGGAGTTCAGCTACCGGGCATTCGCCACAACACACCTGCTGCCCTGCACACACACGGCTGCTTTTGTCTGTTTCTGCTTTTACAGGCCCCTTTCATCTCCTTTTCTCAACTACAAAACTCCAGGGTTAAAGCGTAACGTAAAGCACTGCTGATCTGGAACAATCTGTTCGGCACAATTCAGCATCACAGTTTAGTGACTAATAACTGTAGTAGACCATGCATTTTAATAGACACCACAGATGCCATGGTGAATTTCCATAAAGTCTATTCTATTTTTTTTTGCTCTCTAGGTCACTATTATTTTTTCCATCTTAATTCACATGCAATTCATCCTCATCCATGTCTGGCTCATTGTCAGGATGCTGCTGTAAGCAACAGTCTTTCTCTCTCGGGGCTCGATGGGCACTTAGCTGAAGGGACAATGTATTCGGGCAGAGGAGCTGTAACTGAGGGAATTGAATATAGTCTGCAGAGAGAGACGTTGTGAGGTCACGCTTGAATTTACTGAATAAATCCTGCTTGCCGTGGTGGCTCGGATTTGACTGTTTTTTACATGACAAATGTGAGTTAGGATACAGAACCTGATCTCCACTGAGACCCTGGGGTCCTAGATCAGGCCAAGAAGTTTGGGATTGTGTTTTTTTTCCTTCCGTTTTTTAAAGATTTTTTTTTTCCCCAGCAAGGATGCATTAAATTTATCAAAATTGACAGTAAATTCATTCATGATGTTACAAAGGATTTTTCTTTCAAATAACCGTTTGAAATAAGCTTTCTACTGGACAAAGAATCCTGAAAAATATACTATATATATTGTGGTTTCCACAAAAATATGAAGCAGCACAACTGTTTTCACCATTGATAATAATCAGAAATGTTTCTTGAGCAGCATATCAACAGAAAATAGTGGACAGTTAACCTCTGAATTATTAAACACAAAAGCTTTGCCACTGTTAAAGTGTATATGTGTGTGCTGAGGTGTGATTTTCCATCGTATCTGACACTGGCTGCTTAATTTTTCATGGCTGACAGTTACTGTTTGTGTGTGAGTGTAAACTTGTGCCAATTAAAATCAAATTCATTTTAATTATTTTTGTCCCCTCAATGAGAATGAGTTGGCAAATCTCTGTGATTACAGCACTGATACTATTAACACTGTACAAAAGCAATTACATCAGTGAATATTACATGAACATTAAATATTTAAAGTAGAGACTGAAACAAGTTGCTACTATTCTCCCCAAACAAAGAGAAGAAAGACATTTAAGTCAGAAATGCAAGGGATTTTTCACTGGTTTTCATATCTTCAAGATGAAAATCTCTTAGTAAAGTAACAACAGACCTTTCATCAACAAGTTTGAAGACTGAAGCATCAATTATTTCAAATTGTGCAGGATAAGCTATAATACCCTTGGTTATGGGTTTGAGCAAATACTAACCATATATACTAGTATAAACAGCTGAAAACAGCAAAATGTGTCACCAGAGTGTGTTATGTTTTAGATGCTGTCATGCTGGTGTTCCCATCCGGATCTTAACTAGTTTAACCAGCGAGACTTCATTGGCCAACCGATTTCACTAGCTGCTCATGTACTGTGTTGGTCCACCAACTACACCAGCTTCAAACTACCACTAACCATTGAGAACTCATGCTGGTCTAAGCTGGTCTTTTCAGGAGGGGCTGTAATAGTAAAGTTGCCTTGGCAAGTACCACTAACTTTTCAGGCAGCACTGAAGCCCAGTGAAATAAAGCTGACATGATAGTGTGAATTTATTCATGCGTTTTGACTCACTGGATAAGAAGTGTTGAGAGGAGGGTCCAAAATCCCTGTGTGCTTCCTGTAAGAGCTTCAACCTGTCCTCTACAGCCGCCTGGAGACAGACAGAGACGGGGAGAGAGAAAGTTAGATTGGCTGCTAAATGGAATATGACAAACAAGCTGAAAAAAAAATGCATCCACACAGTCACAGCAGGGCACAAATCTCAGCGTATGAAAGACAGTAATGAACAGACACACTCAAGACTTAGTCTTTCTGCACCGTCAGTGAGTGTGCTAAACAGATCCTGAGGAAAACAGATACAGTCTCATCAAAGACACAGCACACACACACACCACTTCTGAGAACAACATACATCCTCATGCACACAGACTGCACTAATGACACAAGAGAAGAGACTGGATTTATTAGATTTATTAGGATTTGTTATTAGGAAGGGAAGGGAAGGGAAAGGGAAAGGGAAAGAGGGAAGGAGGGGAGGGAAGGAAAAGGAAAAGGAAAAGGAAAAGGAAAAGGAAAAGGAAAAGGAAAAGGAAAAGGAAAAGGAAAAGGAAAAGGAAAAGGAAAAGGGAAGGGAAAAGGAAAAGGAAAAGGAAAAGGGAAGGGAAGGGAAAGGAATTAGGAAAGGAAAATGAAAAGGAGAGGAGTATGCAGATAACCTGCATGAAAGGAACAGGAAAGGAAAAGGAAAATGAATGAGGAAAGGAAAGCAAAGCAAAGGAAATGGGAAAATAAAAAAGAAAGGAATAGAAAAAGGAAATGAATATGCAGAGCACCTGCATAAACAGAACAGGAAGATGAAGGAGAAGGAAAGCAAAAGGGAAAACAACAGGGGAAAAAAAGTAATATGTAAAAAGGGAAAGGCAAAATAATACGCAAAAGACCTGCAGTAGTTTCCAGCGCATGTTGAGGTTGTCTAACTGGCGGTTGGTGGTGGAGGACAGCTGGACATCCAGTGGGGTCAGCTGACCTGCCAGATCATTCACAGCTCGGACATCCTGTTTCAGAGGCGCGATCTCATCACGGAACACCTGAAACACACACAGAGAGAGAGAGAGAGATAAATAAATCACATTACCATCTTTATCTCTGCATATCGCCCAAACACAATTTAAATAAATCATCAGCCGGAGCGCTTGGCAATGACTCATAGCATGTGTGAGAGGTGTAACAGCGTCATCGTGGGATAAAACTATAAAAATAGCTTCAGGCAGGAAAATGATCAACTAGAATAATCCTTAAAGGAATAGTTCACACAAAAATGGAAATTCTGTCACTATTTACCCTCCCTTGTGTTCTTCAAAACCCAAAGGATTATGTTTCTTCCATGGAATACCTTATGATCGAGATGTTAAACTAAATGTTCACATAGTTCTTGTTCATACAATGAAAGTAAAATTGACCAGGGCCTGTCATACTGCAAAAATGCCAATTTTTTGGTATCTTTTATGCACCTTTTTGTCCTTTTTGAAGCTTCACAACCCCCATTTCCTAGTAGTGAAAAGCATCATGATGAATATCTTCTTTTATGCTCCACAGAAGAAAGTAAGTCATACGGGTTTGAAATGAAATCATGAGTGAATGATGACAGAATTATCATTTTTAGATTTAATAATCCAGGATGAATTGACTGAACTTTCATACCGACAAGAACAGTAACGTACCGTTGTTTTCTCGATGTGATCCTGTAGGGAATCTATGAGAAGGTCTCCCACCGGTTGCCACCCTGTTTTGAGCTCCTCGGCCTGGGCTAGACGCAGGTCCAGTTGGTCCATGGAGCTCTGGAGATCCTGGAGTTTATCCAGTGCTCTGTCCACCTGCTCTTGCCAGGTTCCCGCGTGTCCCATCAGCCTCTCCCAGCGCTCGCCCACCTCTGCAGTCTGCTTACGAATCGCCTTAGCCACCCGCTGGGCCTTCTCCTCCGGGGTCAGCTCTATGAAAAACAGCAGACGCAAACTCAATTTAAATTACATCTTCACTTCAGTTGACCTCAATTAAGTTCATTTCGGAAACTTTTGTAATAAAAAAGGTAAATTCAGCCGGAAACAAGAGACTCTACTTCTGGAATGGTTTCTAATTCTGTATTGTTGTGTCTGGGAACAAAAACATACTAACTATGGGCTTAATCGCACCTGGCTCATTTCATAACCTGCCATGTTTTCTCCCTTAGTTTGGTTAAATACATTCACACACACACACACACACACACACACAAACAAAAAATAAATAAACGGCAATTGTGTTTGGATGCACACCAAAACAAATCAGTCCAAAATCGTCTGAACAATGTGGTCTCGGCCTGATTGGAAACAAACTCTGGAATGGGCTGATTTCATTTTCCAGCAGGATTTGGCACCTGCCCATTTAAGAAACGCATTAGGAGGACAGGATTTTCAAGTATCATTGTGTGTGACTTTAACAGCCATAATGAAAGCTATAATGAATAATTTACCTCAGATCTTAAAAATAAATGTAGGGAAACCAGAACATTTAAACTGTGAACAAGTGTGTTCCATGACAAAGATTGTATCAGTCGCTTTTGATAATGTTAAATTGGTTTCATTTTTATTCAATCTGATGTGTACTCATCCATTTTGTGTGAGTGCGAGACAGCAGTGCGCTTGCAAATAGAGTCTGCCTACACACACGTCTGATTGGCTGTTATTTTGATTGATTTTATCGCATCTCACAGCCAGACAAACTACTTGTTGATTGGATCATATCATATCAAATAAGACAGCATAATATTACTGCAAACTGTCTGGAACATCCTTTGCGTTTGGGATACGCCTACTGTACGATCCCTAAAATGTTGCCAGTGTGAAGCTTACTAGGTTTTAGGGACACACTTTATTTTAAGGTTCAATGCTTGCTATTAACAAACCATTAACTACAACTTTTGCCTCAAAAACTACTAGTTTGCTGCTTATTAATAGTCAGTAAGGTAGTTGTTAAGTTTAGGTACTGGTTAAGATTAGGGATGTAGAATACGGTCATGCAGAATAAACTAATAAACAGCTGTTATGTTAATAATAGGCATGCTAATAAGCAACTAGGTAATAGTGAGAATTGGTCCCTATGCTAAACTGTTAGCGGTTTAAGAATAGACTAATATAAACAGCCTGTTTTTGTGCATCTCACATTTATCAATATGACCACAACTTGACTTTTCCACATTGCAAATGACCATGTTCAGAAGATATGCTCAGTGCACGGTCATTTAAGAAAGTGTTTACTAATGAGCCACTCAACTAATGAGCTAAATAGAGAGAGGTTTACAGACGACAGGAGGCAGATGTTTGGGCAATTTAGAAAGAGCCCAGGGCATGTCTACAGGCAGGGCTACAGCATTAACATCTGCTCTTTCATTCGGCTTCCAGGCTTTTTGAGGACGTGAGAAGACACTTTAGCTAATGTCACCGTCACAAACTGCAGGACTGATTTCTCCATTCGGCAAATGCTCACCTCTTCATCTTTCATCTTTATATTTCTGTTTCAGCCGAGCGAGAATCAATTTACAACTCAAATGCGTTCAAGCGTTTCTGGAAAGGTTTGAAATTCAATTAAGATCCAGGGGTTGAATGGAAATTAAAGTGACGGTGTGGCAGTGGCTTGTTTATGCTCATTTGATGACGAGCGCTGGAACAGATTGCTTTACATTTTAAAACATACAGTTCAATTTGGAAAACATGCATTTGCGTGAACATTAGTGGTGTATGATTTTATCTGGGTAAGCTGCTCCCGCTGTGTGTTTGTGCGGGGCGGCAGAGCGCGTGAGCTGGTTATCGGTTCAGATAGCTGAGCTCTGCGCTTTGATCGCAGGGATAAGAGAAAATGGAAGTGCAGAGATCACTCAAGGACTGAATGGAGGCATGTGAGATTGCTCTAGGTGTTCGGAGTGAGACGTGTGAAGAGAGATCAGAAAACTCTGCCCTTCTGAACCCAGCTGACTTCAATAGGAGTAAATGTGAAAGTGTGCATTTGTGGTAAGAATATTAAATAAGCTTACAAGGCTAGTTGCACCCTCTGAATCTGCACCCTCAAAATTCCACAGAAAATATCAAAACTGTCATTTACAAAGTTATACACATGCATGTCGCTTTAGGGCTGTGCAACAATATAAATATATAATAAAATGATTAAAATATAAATAAAGATTAATATAAGCAATATGAATACATAATACAATATTTATTTTTATATTATATTTTTATGATATTAATAATATATAATAATAATAATAATATAATAATACAACTAAATACTAGGCTTGGGCGATGCCTACCAAATTGGCATCGGATGACGTCTACCATGAAACATCGCGATGGACGATGACATGGGGGGTGGGGTGTTGGGTTTAGGGGTGTGCCCGAAGCGTGAATCTGTATTCAGAAAGGCACGGAAAACATGCATCGCGATTCTCTCTGGAATCGATTCTGAGCATAGATTTTTACAGCAGATGGCGCTCTACTCTAGTTTTTAGCCGCACACTCAAATGCTCATGAAGAAGAGCGCTGAAGAGTCGTGTAATTACACCTCGGCTCAGAATGCTTTTATGATGCGAGATTAATGTAAACACAGCCCACTGTGAACACCCTTGTAATTCGCTTCAACCTTTTTGAATTTTATGAATGATTATTTTAGGTTCAAGTGTGTGTGAGGATTTGGAAACGAGCAGAGTATGGCTGTTTCTAAAGCATGCAGCGCCATCTGCTGTTCAAAACTAAGCTCAGAATCGACTCGAGAAAGAATCGCAATGCATTCGGAAAATCTCAGAATCGGAGTTCACCCTGAATCATTTCTCGATTCGCAATGCATCGATTTATTTTCCCAGCCTTACTAAATACGTCAACAGTTTTTTTTTTTAAGCCCGTTTCTGCCAGTGAAAATTTTGACTTTTTATCTCACAATTCTGACTTTTTATTTATTTTTTCCTCAGAATTGAACTCGTATATAAGCTCACTGATATAAACTCAGAACTGCAAGTTATAAAGTCAGAATTCTGAGATATAAAATCGCAATTCTGACATTTCTCACAATTGTGAGTTTTTATCTTGCAATTCAGATTTTTTCTCAGAATTGCATAATATAAACTCACAATTGCAAGTTATAAAGTAAAGAATTACGAGATAGAAAATTGCAAACCTGACTTTTCTTGCAATTGTGAGTTTATATCTCATAATTCTGACTTATTTTCTCAGAACTGAGATATAAACTCACAATTGCGAGATATAGTCCAATTTGGAGAAAAAAAGTTTTTCAATTGAGAGTTTATATCTTGCAATTCTGAACAAAAAAACTTTGAACTGCAAGATGCAAACTATCTTATATCTTCTAAAACTGCACTTTTGCGAAGCCCAGTCTGTTTAAATATTTCACCTAATTTGATAATGCTGTCAGACACTGAAAAGAGCATATTCTCCTCTACATATCTTGCCATTTTAAACATTGAATTATATGGAAGCAGTTCCTTTATTAAGAATATATTTTGAAGATTGCTTCAACTGTTTTTACACATACAATTACAGTAAATGGCCAAAAAAACACATTTTATGTTTCAAAAAAATAAAAAAGTTCTACAAAGTTAAGAAAGGCAACTCTAAATGACTAATACAGGTTACTCTCCTCAAGCAGCCACATAATCTGAGATGTCCTTCATGTCTGTAAGCTGAAACAGTTCAGGACGAGTTACGCAGCAAAGTTTAATACGCAGAGTTTAAGGTTTGCTTATATCACTAAGCCTCAGTACGTGCAGCAGTAATAGTTCTGCTTGCCTTAGCAAACACTTTCTGCTCTAGATGACTTTGGTGTTTTCTGAAAGACAGAAAACATTGAGCTTCAGGACGTTGAAAAGTGGAAATAGCCTGCAGTCTCTGATCTGCCAATTAACCCGGTTTCACTTGGCATTCACACACTCCAGCTGAAATGCATGCGTATGCGTACACACATTCACACACAGCTCTCTTTCTATCTGATAAGTGGTATCTGACATTTGTCCTAAATTAGCTTTTCAAGCAGGTCCCAGCGGAAGTGTCCAGAGAGCGGTGGAACTTTCCAGACATCAGATACTGCAGTTAAGAGCGTGTGGACAGGAGGTGTCCGACTTATCAGAGAGTCACTTACATCAAAGAGCATCCCTTAGAGAGTGTCAAAATGAACTCTGCTGGTCTGCGGTATGTGCGTGATGTTCTCAGACTGGTCTAAGTTTCTGAAGAATTTCTTCTGCAGACGTGTTTTTATGTGCAGAATGTTTACTGTAAAATTTACTCTATCATTACTTCACAAAGCACATGACTTCACAAGCAGTGTTAGAGGTAAAGCAAGTAACATGAGTTATGTAATCAGATTACTTTTTTTTCAAGTAACTAGTAAAGAAACACAAAAGAAAAGGCCAATTTTTTTTTGCCAAATATAGAATTTTATATTAAAAACAAACCTCAAACCCAGCCCAGATTTAAAAAGTAAAGAGAAAGTAAAATAACTAGGGATGCACCGATACCGATACTGGTATTCTATTTCTGAAAATATCACAGTTAGGAGATTTATAACCAGTGGTTCCCTGCATTATTACAGCAAAGCGTGTGATTACAGTACTAAGCCGCTGCAATGGAGCAGCTCTAATGCTATTAAATTAAAGATGATGTACCATAGAGCAAAAAATGAACAGTGAAAGTAACAAAAACGTGTAAAATACATTTTAATGGGCATAATTAAGTCTGAAAATAACCGAAGGATATACAGTGAAACCAAAAATGATTCAGATGGAAAAAGTGGTATCGGTGCATCCCTAAAAATAACGCATTACTTTCGAAAAAAATAAAAATACAATTAAAATAATTAGTTGCTTTTTAGGGAGTAACGCAATATTGTGGTGCTTTACTTTTAAAAGTAACTTTTCTCAACACTGTTGACAAGACGTATGCACTTTATCCCTTTTCTGTCTACTTTTATTTTCATTAAATGCATGGGAGGATAGCAGGATGAAGAAATGATGGTCTCTCACCGGTTTTGGGTTGCAGGTTCTTGCGTGGCTCTTCGGGTCCTTCGATCGGCTGGTCGGCCAGAAACATATGTGCCTGATCCAATGTGCTGAGAACTAAATGCTCACGCTCCTTAAGCTCCGCCCTCAGAGCCTGAAAACACATCACATCACAACCTGTCAATCAGTCATAAACAGAGCTTAATTATAGAAATCAGCAGAAACAAGAAATGGGCGGGAAAATTAACAGAGAGAAATAAAAAGATACATAGATAGATGGATGAATGGACTAGATAGAGAATCAGATAAATAAAAATACAGAAATGGATGGAAAGATGGATGGAAATTTTGCCTGACTAAATTTGTTTTTTTCACGAATTTCATTCTTTTAATCAGGCTTTTTTTCTCCATTTTCTGAATCACAGTCCATCATTATCTGACGGTATATCGTTGCTTATGCTAGCTAGTGCTCCATCCAAGAGTGTGTATGTTTGTGTGTGAGCAGGAGACCAGTGAGAGCAAAATGAAAAACAAAGAGATCAAGAAAAGGTGAGAAGGAGGGCAGTGAAAGATTGATAGGATGCACATATAAAACGGACACTAAAGAGCAATTGCAAACACGATCGCCGAGGTCAAACGAGGCATTTCCGCAGGGTCGCACGCAAATTAGCCAAACTAATAGCCGTCCTCGAACTCCGACAAAACTAATTCCTGCCTTCAGGCAGCGCAGGACTTCTGTACAGCCACACACACAATTAAATGAACAGCCAAATCTCTGCGGAGAGGAAAACTGGATTACCATTCCTCTGATAGTTGGGCCCCTCAGGCTCGACTGGAGAGCAGGGTCACGGCACCCTTCCACACTTCTGAAACGGTCGTTAAACAGAGCCGGAGGAAGTGATAAGCCTTTTAATTACATCCTGCTACAGTAAACCTAGCGAGCACCAGCCCAATGTGCTGAGAACTAAATGCTCACGCTCCTTAAGCTCCGCCCTCAGAGCCTGAAAACACATCACATCACAACCTGTCAGTCAGTCATAAACAGAGCTTAATTATAGAAATCAGCAGAAACAAGAAATGGGCGGGAAAACAACAGTCGACCAATTAACAGAGAGAAATAAAAAGATACATAGATAGATGGATGAATGGACTAGATAGAGAATCAGATAAATAAAAATACAGAAATGGATGGAAAGATGGATGGAAATTTTGCCTGACTAAATTTGTTTTTTTCACGAATTTCATTCTTTTAATCAGGCTTTTTTTCTCCATTTTCTGAATCACAGTCCATCATTATCTGACGGTATATCGTTGCTTATGCTAGCTAGTGCTCCATCCAAGAGTGTGTATGTTTGTGTGTGAGCAGGAGACCAGTGAGAGCAAAATGAAAAACAAAGAGATCAAGAAAAGGTGAGAAGGAGGGCAGTGAAAGATTGATAGGATGCACATATAAAACGGACACTAAAGAGCAATTGCAAACACGATCTCCGAGGTCAAACGAGGCATTTCCGCAGGGTCGCACGCAAATTAGCCAAACTAATAGCCGTCCTCGAACTCCGACAAAACTAATTCCTGCCTTCAGGCAGCGCAGGACTTCTGTACAGCCACACACACAATTAAATGAACAGCCAAATCTCTGCGGAGAGGAAAACTGGATTACCATTCCTCTGATAGTTGGGCCCCTCAGGCTCGACTGGAGAGCAGGGTCACGGCACCCTTCCACACTTCTGAAACGGTCGTTAAACAGAGCCGGAGGAAGTGATAAGCCTTTTAATTACATCCTGCTACAGTAAACCTAGCGAGCACCAGCCGCACATTAGAGGCCCATGAAGAGGAGCGCTCCATTAAACAGCATTATGGAGATGTTAAGGACCGATATTAAAAAATCATAAAGATTAGAGTAAGATGAAGAAAGAGACACATACGAGGTCGAAGAAGAACATCACACATGAGCACAGATACAGAATTAAACGAGTGAAAATCACCTATATTTTTGGTATCTTTTAGCTACGGCAGTGATGCTGACAGCATTAAATATACAACATACACATATTCGTATTCCCTATTAATGTGTCAAGTTGTGACTTGCCTCAAAAACTGTAAACAGCTCCACTTTGAATCATTCCTGAAAGGGTTAGTTCATCCAAAAATGAAAATTCTGTCAGCATTTACTCAAGCGCAAATCTGTATGAGTTTCTTTCTTCTGCTGAACAAGAAAAAGATGTTGTGAAGAATGTGTGTAACCAAACAGTTGTTCATCCCAATTGACTTGAGGTTGAGATTTTCATTTTTGAGTGAACTGTCCCTTTAATAACAAGTTATTTTCATCTTGAGTAGTTTGGGACAAATCATGCTTTTTTTTTTTTTTTTTTTTTTGCATTTCTCTGTTTCCACCACCCCAATGATAGATAATTGCATTGGTTTAAACAGTATAACCTTAAACACTTTAATTATCCAGTTTAATTAAAGGGATAGTTCACCCAAAATTGATATTCTGTCATTTACTTGCCCTCATGTCATTCCCATAAGACATTCATTCATCTTTGAAACACAAATCAACTGCGTTCCTCCATTGAAAGTTCATTACACCAAAACTCTGACGCTTCAAAACGTCCAAGGATAAAAGTAATCCATATGAATGAGAGAGATTCACATTAATGAAACATTAATGAAATATAAACACTGACCAATGTGCATATATTGAGCACATCAAATATGGCAAACAGAAGGTCAATCGTACTTGACATGTAAGAACCAGTGAGGCTTGTTCTTGAACATTAAGGTTGTTTGAGCTTCCATTTACCATATTTGATGAGCTCAATGTTTATATGTGAATATAAGCCTAAACTCAATCAAATCTAAAATGTGTAGTGACGTTTTACCCTTGTGCCAGTTCTGTGAGCTTAAGCACTTTCAACTCGTTAAAAAATAAGAAAACAAGAGAACTTTTCCGATCAAGAAATGGAAAATCCACCACAATTTATTCAACTCCCCATTGTCCAATGAGCCCATAATATGATCATGTCTTAATCCTGTCTCTTCTAATAACAAAACAAAAGTCCTCTTCCGGTTAAATATTCTTATTTCTAATTAAACATAATGACATAAAAAAAATTATAATAAACAAATTGCAAATATACGCCAAACAGCTCCAATAAAGTGATTGTGTGCCTTCAGTAGACTTGCATTAAACAGCTAAATTCATATGGATTGTTTTTTACGATGTCTTTATGAACTTTTTGAAGTTTGAAAGGCTACGTGGACTTACATTGGAGGAACAGAAAACTCATTTTACGTTTCACTAAAAATACCTTCATTAGTGTTTTGTTGCTATGGGTTTGGAACGACACGAAGTGAACAAATCATGAGAATTTTCATTTTTGAGCAAACTCTCCCTTTAAGATGCCGCTTGCAGCTGAAACACGCTTTAGTAAACAACCTTCAACATCAGCGGCAAAAATCGGAAAGCTCTTCCATTTCTTTCTTTCACAAAGATGATGACGGTTTCCACTTTTAAAGCCAAAAAGCGGCAAACTATCATCAGTGCTCTTCCTGAGCTCTTAAAACACTTCTGACAGACACAAACAGCCAAACACAAAAGCGCGTGCATTCACAGCCCTAAATAGCACATAATGAATAACCTCTGTGCCTGGAGTGAAAGACCATTCAAAACCATCAAATGGCAAACTACTCGACACATCCTGAACCCCTTTAAAAGACTCCCAAACAAGCGCTCTAATGGCTCAGTTCCAGCCAAGACATCCTCAAGGCTTGTTTTTGGGGAGGATGCCCTTGACAGATTGAAGCTTAGGTCTAAGATGCTGGAGTGGTGCCAAAGTGCCACTTATCGCTATAGCAACGCACAGCAACAATAATTACCTTTGGTGCTGCTTTCTTCAGCATGACATCACCCTCACTTTTTAATTGAGCTAAATGGACATCGTGTTTATAAGTCAGACTCAGTACAGTCCAGCATGTGAGGCATGCCGCCAATTACCTCAGAAAGGAATTTTGTCGCTTGCTTTGAGGAAAACAAACAGAAAATGTGCCTTTACAGTAAAGCACATACCTGTAACGTGGATGTCTAAGGAGCAAATGTCTGGAAGATTGAAAAGCAGAAAAGGTAGCATTTTCGTTAAAGCATTTATATTGAATCATTTGTAGAAAAAATGTGTTATTTGAAGTTTTTTATTTCAGGTGGAACTACACCTGAGAATTGGGCCTTAAGGTGTTACCAACATGTAAATGGTAACAATTATTCTAGCTAAATTCATTTTCAGAGAAAACCATTCTCTGTGGCAAATAGCATTCGACCTGGAACATTCTTTGGAAGAATGGATAAAGAAGACAATCCTTTATGACCACGGACTAAATTATTTCTAATTTCTTTAAAAGGCTAAAAAAAAAAAAACAGCTCATGTCCTTAAGTTCCTGACGGCACGGGCTAAATGCAGATATATTCACACTTGCTGCTCAGACTCTTGTCAGCACAGCATCCATCTGTCAGAGATCACCTGCTTACTGTCCTGTAACACAGACAGCTCTCTTAAAACTGCTTCTAGAAGTCAAGCCACATTTCTCAGACGCTTTTATCAGCCATAACACCATCTGCTTTGAATGCTTTCAATTAGGAGAAGCAGAGAGACGGCAAAAGGCTTTCGCACAAATCAAATCTTGAAAGTCAAAGGCATTTGCAATGACGCAGTATCTGCCCCGGACCTAAAATATCAGACAACTAGCTTCCAATCCATTTAGAAGCGTGTAAATTGAAATCAATACCTGAGCGGCAAACTGACAATGATTCACCTAATGTCTCGATTGAGACTAACAAAGAGGACCGGTACAGCAGCGCTGGTCAGGTGACGAGACTGTCAAGTGTCTTTCATCTCTTTATTGCAGCATAAAAGGATCTTCAGGGTTATAGTGAGGTCATTCTTTCCTGTCTCAGGTCAGAGAAAAGTCTCTGTTTCCACCACCCCAATGATAGATAATTGCATTGGTTTAAACAGTATAACCTTAAACACTTTAATTATCCAGTTTAATTAAAGGGATAGTTCACCCAAAATTGATATTCTGTCATTTACTTGCCCTCATGTCATTCCCATAAGACATTCATTCATCTTTGAAACACAAATCAACTGCGTTCCTCCATTG